AACCCTAAACCCTAACCCAACACCCTCCAGCCGGGAGCCCAAGCTTAAAACCGAAGCTACACCTGATCTCCGCCTTTATGGAGGCACGCTGCTGGTGCAGACAGCTAGCGGAGTCTGTGCGGGAAGGAAAAGAACCATGTCTTCAGACCTACCTCTAGTCTCCACTGTAGTTCCTTTTTTGGTTTAGCAGATTTTATATTCAGGATCCTATAAGGTAACCCCCAAAAAAGAAACTACGACGGAGACTATAGGTAACCAGTTTTATATTTAGGATCTTATAAGGTACCCCCCCAAAAGGAACTACAATGGATACTACACGTAGATTTACGCCGTAAGTTAAGCAGGGCTTATAGGTTTATGTATTGGGAGTAGGCCAGCGTTGGCTTTCAGAGTTTGGGTGTTTAGGGTTTAGGGTTTAGGTTTTAGGGTTTGTTGAATTTCAGGTTTTCGGTTTGCTGTTTAGGGTGGTCCCGGGCTGTAGACGACAAAAATGACATATGAGCATGAGTTTTTTTATACCCCTAAACCCCTAAACCCGAAAGTGATGGTGGGATTCCGGGTTTTACCAAAGGCGCTTATCATGGGTCTAGACCGGTGGAGAGTTTAGGGTTCAGGGCTTTACCTCCTAAGACATTGGTTTGGGTTTAGGGTTTAGGGTCTAGAGTTGGGGTTCACGGATTTCGCTAAGGTTTTGAGATTGGGGCTTATAGGGTCTCGACTCAGACTGTATCATGGACCTCCGACCCCTTTGGTGGCCAGGCGGTTCCCGGTTAAGGGTCCTGCTTGGGTTCCTAACATGGTTCGTTTGCGGGCTCCTTTGCAGCAAGGCTCCCTCGAAGCGGTTGTAAAAAGGCTGCAGGACTTCGGTTCACAAAGGGTTGTAATGCTTCATCAGGGTGATGAAATCCCGTCCATGGGTACTCTTTCTGCTTGAGAGGCTCCAGGGGATATCATGCCTTTCAAGCCCACTTACCTACAAACCCTAAACCCTAAACCCTAAACCCTAAACCCTAAACCCTTACTGTCCCCATGAAACCCCAGTCGAGCGCATCCTCGAGAATTTCAAGACCTCCCGAGGGCCAAGGCCGAGAATATGCGCGTTTAGGGTTTAGGGTTTACTTGGAGGATCATGGGACTTAGTAAGTAAGGTTACACGTCCCTTAATTGGGGTTATAAGTATAGTTACCCTAATTATAACCCTACTTACTAAGTCCCATGATCCTCCAAGTAGGGTTCTGGCATCCCAACCCGAACCCTGAACTCACAAAGCGCGGTTGCCAGAGGTGTCAGGCTACTGGCCCAATACCCCTATCCTAACAACCCGCTGTGATTTAAGGTAATTCCCCTGTTAAAATAAATGCATCATAGTATGGTTTATTACACCTGTAGCCCACTTGGAGGATCATGGGACTTAGTAACTAAGGTTATAAGTACCCAAATTGGGGTTATAAGTATAGTTACCCTACTTACTAAGCCCCATGATCCTTTAACTCAAGCCCAACAAATTAGCAGGTTATCTCAGAGAAAGCTTGCGTCAATACCCATGGTCCAGTGCAGCCATGGGAGCGGGCGGCTCGAGGCAACTCTTAGACTATGAGGAAGCCGCAGCGCACCCAGACCGGGCAGGGGTTTAGGGTTTAGGGTTTTGGGTTCAGGGTTTAGGGGTTCAGGGAGTTCTTGAAGATGCTTTTTGTCCCTTCAGACGTCCTTCGGACAAAAGGCTTGTAAATTTGGCGGGCATCGTGGCCTTTGTTCAGAGTGTGTTGGAGTCGACGGTAAGTATGACATTGTGTGGTGAGCTGATTTCCTGGTAAAGTCTCTAGTTTGGTTAGCTACAGTTGGAAAACATGCCGATGCCTGTTATAGTTTAGTGATTACACATACACTTATGTATACAGTATACATATTCATATGTACTTGAGTAGCGTGTGGGTATATACACATGTATGCATGTATGTATGCATGCATGCATGCATGCATGCATGCACGCATGCATGGATGTACGTCTTATGTATGTCTTTATGCATATGTATACATATATATATATATACAGATTTACAATCGCAGTAGTACTAGTACATATGCATATATATATATATATATATATGTGTGTGTGTGTGTATGTGTATATATGTATATATAACATATACAGGTGTGTACATATACACATACATATACCACGCCAGTCTGGTAAAACTTAGGTTCCTTAGCAATAGCCCAGTGTTAGTCGCTTCGAGGAGTTTGCAGGGTTCAGTGCCACACTTTAGCCCCAAAATCCCTACTCCTTCGAGCATTTTGCTGGTGGGCCTGTTCTAGGACGCTTGCAGGTGGGTAGTTACCGTTAAAGGAGCCTTCTAGAAGGTCTGTATACCTTATAGAAGCCTTGTAGAAGCCCTATAGACCCTTAACTCCCCACCTGTAGTTTCCTAAACCCAAAACCCTAAACCCCTAAACCCTAAACCCTAAACCCTAAACCCTAAACCCTAAACTCCTAAACCCTACACTCCCCACCTGTAG